TGAGGGCATCCAGCAAAACCAAAGTGAAGGTCTTGGCTGAAGCTAAGATCCACAGAGACCAATACCTGGGAACAAATAACAGTCTTGGTCAGCAATGCCCAGGAGAGGTGACTGCAAGCAAATCACATAACCCTGACATGACTTTCTGCCCAATTTTCCCAGACCAGGAGCAATCTCCCAGATTGGAAGGGAAGTCAACATCAGGCAAATGTGACAATGCAGGAGGGAATGACTGTGTATGTGAAATAATCAAGGAGGAACAAATCTGTAGTCTCATTGATCCTTAAATAAATGCTAGTATCCAAATCCATTACAGGTTGTCATTTACTCCCGTCTTGCCTATGCTGATGATACAGAACAAACACAGAACAGAAAGCCACTGAGAAAGTGCACTGAGTAGATTCATCAGAGATGTCATAAAATGAGCATGTTTGCCACATGAAGCATAAATGTTTTCTAGCCAAGAAAAGCCCAACAAAATGAGTAAAGAGGAAGAGAAGAGATGATCCTCCTGCAAACAGAATCTTAGAAATAAGAATTTTGTTTTCTTCAAGTCTTGGAAAACTAGCTACTTTGGCTAATGACATAATTTCTTTCAGTTTCTGCCATTGCTCACTCAGTCCTGAACCTGCCACCTATATATGTGCTCTAAGAACAGTTGACAGTTTCAGACAGGACTTAATCACACCTCTCATTAATAAGTCACTATGCTTAATTATATAGCCTAGCAAATAATGCACCTTAAGCCATAAAGCCCAAATGCAAGTCTGAAAGTCTGTAAGTGCTGCTGGTCATGATGATATTTTAATCTCTAAACTCTTCACACCCGAGAAAAGATAGGAAGAATGGTATACCGTACAGATTATCAACTATATAATCTCAGCAGCACGCTCCTTTTTTGCCAAATTTAGCAACATTAGTGCTTTTCAATTAAAAAATTATTTTAGAAAATACATCGTGTTATGACCAGGTTGTGGAATGTAACGTTCAGCTATTTGAGAAGGAACTTAAATACTTACAAAGTTTTTCACAAAAAAGATGTTCTGCTTTTAGGCGACTGATAGTTTCTTTATCTTCTGGATACCTTGAGGTAAACAGGAGTTTTTCAGCACTGTCTATTCCAGTAATTGATAAGAACTCTTCCACATTTTTCCGGATTTGATTATTTTCCTTCTGGGAAAATCTGCCAAACTTGACAGCAATACCTAAAATATACAGAAAGTTTTATTTAAGGAGGAAGGGGAAAAAAAAAAGAAAAAAAAAAATCAAACCTCAAGTACCATCTCTTGTACATTACATTTCAGGTTTTAGCAAACATACAACAAAAGATCAACAAATTCAAAAGGTGAAAAAAGGAAACTGAAAGAGACAAAACAAGAGTTTGGAGCAGGTAATTTACGCATACACTTTGGACTGTAATTTGACAATGAAGAAGTAAATGCTACAAACCAGAGAAATACAAAATACGTCTATCAGAATGAAGTGAACCAGACTCTATGGATGTGACATAAATTATATAAAAAGTATTTTCCCTCTGCCAAAACATTAGCACAGCTGCACAGTCCTTCCTCACTGCAACAATATTTTGGAGAGCTCACCTTGTTTTTTAAACTCTTTAAACCTCACTAGGTCTCTTCCAGCCATCTTCCTGATTGAACTGTCAGATATATTCCTCACATGAGGAATAAACTCTTCCAATTCTTGTTTTGCAGTATCCAAATCCACAGCTGAACACAAGGTAAAGTCCAGGCACTCTTCATCATCCAGACTAAGCTCATCGGAGGCTGCCATTTCAGTAAAGGAATTATTCTGGTCCTTCTTTCTATTTGGTGCCGAGGGTTCTGGTGTCCTGATATTTAAAAGAAAACACAAAAAAACATAAAATAAAATACACCACTCAAACTCCAAAACAGAGATTGTTAGAATCTCTACCATTAAAAGAATGAACACGTTCATTAATTAAAGCACAAGAACAATACTTCACACACCCACCCCCTTGTATTTCCAACCTTTTAACATAGACATAATTTATTACTGAATTTCTGTACTTAGAATATTCAAAGAGCTTACTGAAGTTTTGAAAATCCACACCTTTCCCACAAAACTCTCACACATGGACATACAGAAGATATAGTGTCTCTTGCTACCACTGGCAACACAGAACTTTTCCATCAGTCTCTTGCTAGTGCTCTTACTGTGGGTTCTGGACACTGTAAAAGCACCAAGAGCTACTTACATGAGCATTTGGTTGTACAGAACATTAAATTCTTTAGTTGACCTTACTAGTAGCTTGGTAAAAATGCATATATTCACCATAAATACCTACTTTAACAAATTAAATCCCTTTCTTTCCACCCCCCACCTCTTTTTTTTTACTAAATGTGAATTGCTTGCACATAAATTATTTCTATACCTACAGTTTTTAAATAGGAGAAAATGTTCTACATTGAAGGGAATAGTAGTATATTCTCACAGATTTTCATTCTATTTTCACAAGGTAACTAAGCTTTTAAAGTAGGTGTCTATAACATCTCAACATACTGTAAAGGTTTCTGAAGTTGTTTTTAAAAATACATACAAAACAGACTGAAGAAAAATCTGGGACCCAAATAACGTGATAGAAACATATTTGGGGGTTGGGCAGAAGAGGAAAAAAAATAAACAAAAGCACAAACAAAACCTAAACTTACATTACATCAGATTCTGACGAGCTTTCTTCCCTGACAAAAGCGCTGCTTTTTTTCGCCTTTCTAGCATGCAGTGGAGTTTTTTGAGGAGATCGATCAGCTGCTTTAGTCAGCTTAGAAAAATTAGCAGGTACAGGCATAGAATCATCACTCAAGGCAGGAGAAGCATCACAGTCACCATCTTCATGCCATTGCTGGGGCATTGCCACACCACCCTCTTCTGTAGGTAAAGGCAACACTGTGTCTTCCCCTTGCCTCTTCTGCTCTGGTGATGACATCAGTGATGGGTAAACGGTTACATCTGTGTCTTCTTGCATATCTTGGGTACTACTGCCTCTTTTCTTCTTCTTCTTCTTTTTTGGTTTTTGATGGTCATTGTTATCGTGTGTTTCTGAGGCAGGCAGGTCACATACCTCATCCTCTTCAGGCAACTTTTCTTTTCTTTTCTTCTTAACAGCTTGTTTCAGATAAACATAATCAGCATCCATGTCCTCACAACCATCAGTGCTATGCTGATTTATTGTGACACAAGTTACATCACTTTGCTCATCTGTACTATCATTATACTTCCGCTTCTTTTTTTTCTTTTTCTTTTGCGAAGCATCCACTCCAGTTTCATTATTAATTTCATGTTCCAGTCCTACACAAGAATTATTTAACAAAGACTGTTGCTGCTCCCCCTTGTTTTTCGTTTTTTTCTTCTTTTTACAGCCTTCATCACTCTGTGCTGCTTGGTCTTCAAACAGCAGTGGAGAAGGACAGCTAAGCTCTGCATTTTCTGTACTCTCTCCTTCACCATTTTCATGTTTCTTATTGTATTCTTCATCGTTTCTCTTCTTCTTCTTCTTCTTCTTCTTCTTGAAAAAATCCTGAACTTGAAAATCATCTGCCCTTGCTTCTTCTGTCATATTTTTTCTTATCTTAAATAAAAGATATGAGTTTTACTCAAGTGCTATCATTTAGGTACCGTTACACACAGTTACACAGGAAAAAAAAAATCCACCCCAAACATTAAAATACTATGGAACTACTCAATATTACCTTAGAAACATACACTTACTTTTCAATCCAGCTAATTTTGCAGAGTGACTACAAAAAAGCGACACCTTCTTCATCAAACAGATGTGCATCACAGCTGTATTCAACCTTAAAATTTCCTTCCTATAAAAACAAGGATACCCTTTAATAACTATTAGCTTTAAGTTGACTTTGCATAACTAAGCAATGACAGTAAGCAACAACAGACTGCTATATTCAACCCTGCTTTCAGCACTGAAACAGCAACAAGCTAAAAGTAATAAAGAAATATTAAACTAATCAGCACTAAAATCAAGTTCTCTAGTTAGAGGCTTCTGGCTGGCGTTGCTCATGTTCAAACAGGCCTAAACTTAGCCAGGACCTGACAGCTCCAGCCGACTCTGTAACCAGAACAAATCTACTCCTGGAAACTACGGATTTACACAGAGCGGGCAGGAAGTATTTTTTAACACATCTTCTACGGCCAGCACACAAAAAACACGTACAAACCAACATTCTGTCATCTCTGAGACACGACACCTTAAATTTCACACCCCCCAACACCGTTTCCAGCGCTGGCCGGTACCAGACATCACCTCCCCACCGCAGCTGCCCCGAAACCCCTGCGGGCAGACCCCAAACCACGCACCGCCACGCACCTCGCCCCACCGCCCTGCCTAGAGAGCTAGGCCGCGGAACACGGCCCCACGGCACCCTCTACGCGGAGCCACGTCCCACCCACCGGCCGGCCCGCCGTTACCCTCCGCCACCCTCCGGGACCACCGAGAGAGGCACCCGAAACAACCCCAGGCCTCTCGGTGGCACCGGGGTGGGCCGAGGCGGGGCAAACCGCGGTCCCCTCAGGGCCCTCTGACGCTCTCCCCCACCGGCCTCTCCCCCTCCCCGGCCTGCACAACTCGTCCCGCCGCCCCCACGGGCAACAACCCTCCCGCCCAGCCGTCGCCCACCGACCCGCCACACGCGCTCCCCCGCCGTCCGCGCGCAACACCGCCCCCCACAGCACCCGCTACCGGACTCTCCGTTCCTTCCCGCCTTCCCCCCCCCCGGCCCGGCGGAAGCGGCCCCAGCCGGACCCAACAAACCAACGGACCGACGGCGTGAGGGGGCGGTTGCTAGGAGACGGGGCACCACCACCCTCCTCACCCACGTTCACGGGTGGAAGCTGCAGCTCCGCGGCCAAATCCTCCCGACCCCCCGCCGGCGGGGCTGTTCGCCTCAGCCCCGGCTCTCCCCCCGCCGTCCCCAACCTCGGCGCGGTGCTGCCCCGCTGGTGACATGGCGGGCGGTGGAACGGCGGCCCCGCGGCGGCCGCTGACTCTGCCTGAGGTGGAGCCGGGCAGCGAGAACGAGCGGCTGGGGGTGGCCCGGGACAGCATGCTGCGAAACCCGCTCATCCTCAAGGTGAGCCCCGGGGGCCACCCGGTCCCTTCCCTCCGTCCCCGCTCCTTACCCGGGCACGGCCACCCACCCCCGCCCCATCCTAGCGCCGGTAGCGGCGAACAGGACCCCGGGGGGGGGGG